TGATATTGATTTTTTAATGCATCATATAGGGATGGTCAGTAAATTCCAGCTGGGTGAGTTTCTGAGCCCGTATTTCTATAGTTCATGAGGAACACACTGTGCTGGGAGCATCCAAGGCAGGGTTTGCCAGGCGACCCTGGAGATGCCCTTTGCCGCTGTTGCCCCAGGAGAGCTGACAGGTCCATGTGTGGCTTCTCGCCTGGTGTCTTCTGCTCTGTTCTACCACACTGGGTCAGAGGGTGGGCTCGGTGCTGGTCTAGGATGTGGGAGCCTGGCTGGCGGGGCCAGCATGGAATCCACGGTGGGCAGTGGCCACCTTCAGGTCACACCATCTGTGGTGCCGGTGCTGGACCAGGGCCAGCGACCCAGCACTTTCTGAGCTGCCAAGCGATCGGCAAGGCCTTGATCCCTTCTTCCTGGCTCTTACTCTGTGCACCTCCTGCCTCTGCCACTGTGGTTTCCAGGCCAGCGGAGGTCTCGGGCTCAGGAGCAGGCATGGGGTGCAGGTGCCTGTGAGGGGCTGAGCAAGTCTGTGCCCTGTGGGTGGCAGGGAAGATGAGGCAGGAGGTCAGCTCTGCCTCCAGTAGTTTGCAGTGCTGAGGGCAGGATAAGGGGTGCGCAGACTTGCGATGGGGCCCCTCTGCGCCTGCGGAGGTCCGGTCAGTGAAGCTGCCCACTTGCCATTTCCTGAATGCTGTCTGCACCTATGTCCCACACCCGCTGGCGGGGGCAGCAGCAGGGATCCCATGTGCGTGGGAGGTGCGCAGGAACCAAGGAATCGGGGAAGAGCAGCTCCGGAGCCCTCAGAGAAGAAGAAAGAATCCATGTTTAACGTGCTTGTTAGATGCCCAGCACCACTGGCTGATCTCCTGCATCTGAGCTCCTCGGAGAGCACTGTGGGAGATGATGACCATCAGCGTCATTTTCTGTCTTAGAGAATGAGGAAACTAAGGCACCGGAGGTTAGGTAGTTGCTCCAGGTCAGCGATGGGAATCTCTGGCCTGGAGGCCATAGCCGGCTGTCTGCTATCATCGAAAGTTCTCAAAGGTTCACCATTGCTGCCCAATGTCCACTCAGGACACAGTGGAGCTGTGATTGGAGTCCACATGGTACAATCCCAGAGCCCACACTTTAGCCCCTGGGCCTGCTGCTTCCGGGGTGGCCATGATCCGAGAAGCCCCACAGCCGGCCAGGGTGGCTCTGAGCACTAGAGCTGGGGCACGGCCAGGCAACCAGGGCTGAAACCGACCAAGCAGGAGGCCCTGGGGCCACCCCACCGTGCTGTGCATTCCAAAGTCCCTGGGGGTGCGTGGAGGGCAGGGTGCACAGCGCAGTGTGCGAACTGGTGTCTTACGCAGTTCTCGCACAACCCTGGCCTGGCGTGTGACCACATCTAGGAACCAGGACATCCTCTCTGCCCCTGTGTGCCACCATCCCTAGGTACGCACAGCCACGCAGCAAGGCATCGGGCCTGGGTCCTGTGATGCCTCTTGCCACGGTGACCTCTGCTGTGCAGAAAGGGCGTCCCGGGGGCCCGGGGCTGTGAATTTGGGCTCTGAGTGATGTTGTTGAGGTTTAGTGCTTTCCACCTGGGACAAGTTATGGGTTGAATTGCACCCCCCACCTGCTAAGTCCTGACCCAACTTTAGGATGGATTTCATCAGGAAACAGGAAATGGAGCAGTGTCCCTGTGATGTGGGATGGACAGACACCCATGATGGGAGGATGGAGCAGGTCTGGCAGGAAGGGGGCACCTGGGGCTGGGGCGATGTGTTTCCAAACCCCCCTCCCCAAGCGCTCCGGAGGGAAGAGAGGCCCCACGGGCACATGCAGAGGAGGAAGTCCCCTGCCTGGCCCAGGATGGTGCCCCTGCCCAGGCTGCCGTTCTTCGGGACAGGGCACAGCCAGCGTTCAAGTCACCTGTGGCCCACACTAACCGACAGGCGGGCCTGCAAGTGGTAGGCTCAGCTTTCCCTGTGTCATGGGGCTGCACATGGGTGAGCAGCTCTGTGGGCAAGGCCAGCTCCGAGTGGACGTGGACAGTGGGGTGGGGGTGGACAGGTCCGAGGGCAGCAGTGCCCCCGCAGTCCGCTCTGCTCTGCATCGCCAGCTGCCAGGGTCTCCCAGGTGAGGACAGGGAATGGGGTTTGTGAGTTAGTCCAGTTCACACTCGTTCTTCTGGAACCTGAAGCTCAGGGCTTTCTTTCCTTCCCTCCCTCCATCTCTCTGTCTGTCCGTCCATCTGTCTCCCTTCCTCTCTTTCTCATTCTCTCTCTCCATGTGGGGTGCCTAGACATGATGGACCCAGACAGCAGGAATCGTGGGGCTGCCACGGCATGTGAGTCAGCACTAGCCTCTGGGCTGCAGGAGGGGCCGAGCACCCACAGCCCTTGGACGACCCAGAGCACCTGAGTGGATACTTCTCCTCCCTCCCTCTGGGGTGCTTTCCTCCCGCCTCCATGGAAAATGAGACACCCCTGTTCTGAGGCCCCAGTGCCCACCGTCCACCACCACCTATCTGGGGCGGGTCCAGTTCCTGGTGTGCAGGTGAGGGATGTGAATCCATTAAAGGGTCCTGAATATGTTGGGGGGATGTGACAGGATAAGTATGATGTAATTTAAGTATTTTGGCTCAGCAAATGGAAGGAAATTACATTTCCTATTATCTTCCAACAGTTATTGAAAATGAAATGAAATATATTCTAACCTCCCCCAAAAGTCAAGGTTTTTTTCCCCCTTAGACGCAGTCTTTCTGGAGTTTGTTCATTTGGTCTGCATTACCCTCCTTTCACGACTTGGAGGCATTCTGTTATGAAACATTTCGTGAAAAAAAAATGGACAAAAAAGTATACTGCATCTTTAAAATATATTGCAAGAATACTCATTTTCAGCTTTTATGGCAGCAGTAGCTGGTGTTCTTGCATGCAGTTTTGTAATTTATTCTGAACATTCTACTTAAACCTTTTTTCAATAGCATGATTTTATTAGAGTCAGCTCACTGGACTTTCCCAAAAAGGTATTTAAGATCAAATAAAACCAGTGCTTGGAAAAATATCATTACAATATGAAAGCAGTTACAAAAACATTAGTACTGCAAAGTTTTATTTCAAATGGCTGAGCCCGCTGATCCTGGGTTACAAGGCTCTCCAGTTGCAGGCTGACCAGCTAGGAGGGGAAACTGTCGTGCTAGCAGTTTTGGCTTTGGGGTGGGGGAGAGGGGAGTAGTTTGCAGGGAGGCAGGAAGATTTCCAGACTCAGGAAGCAGAAGTGGGAATCCATTCCCTCCACCCCGCCACCCAGCTCCTCTGCCTGCCCTTCCTCAGGCCCCTGGGTTTTCCGTCCCCAGGGATGCGGCCAGGCCTTTAAATGAGCCCTGTCAAAGTGCCCCTGGTTGTGAGTGACAGCTAGCTGGATGCCACATGTCTGAGGAACCTTGTCCCTCTGCGTGACTCCCCGTGCAAGGTGAGGTCTCCCACCACGTGGGTTCCTGGTGCAACACCACCTCAGCACCTCTGCCTGGCCAGGCAGTCCTCACCCGAGGCCTGCGACTCCCAGCTCCACGGAACCCGGGCGCCCTCAGCCTCGCCCTCACCCTGGACCCTGGTCTTTCCTCGGGCTGATGAGGAACCCACGTGCTCTCCGCTGCGGGCTTTCCCTCCAGGCCTCAGATCGTGGCAAAGCCTCGCACTACCAAGTTTGCGGCGTAGCCAGCTTCTGTGTGGACTTTCCAAGGCGGCTTTTAGATTGCAAGTTACTATTTGTATTACTTTTCTAAGAAGAAATATGTTTAAAAAGTAAAGTCTTTATTGCTTCCTAAAAGGCCTAGCACTCTGTGATAAATTCTCATATTTTGACTGTTAATATGTTTGAATGAAAATTATTTATACATTTGGGTGAGGTTGAGTGGTTTTCATTTGATTGCTGCCTCTGGAAATGAAAGCAGAGTAGCAGGAAATGTGCATGTCACGCCGTGATGTATACCCAGATTATGCCTGGATTGTGCGGCAGACGAACCCCAAGTAAAACCATTCCCATCAAACTGTGACAATGCAATGCCTGGCAAGGCCTCTTAGTTTGGGGGCCATTATCACTGTACAAGAATATAATCTATTGACAGCGAGGCTGTTTAATACATTCAAAGGCAGACAGTGGAAGAAATCTTGACTGTTTTCATTCGCCACTGCACAAGGCTGCAGATCAAAAGTGAATTATATTTAAAAATATGCATGTGTGATGAGGAGATGCGTAGCATTCATCAGCCTGTTTAGTCATGGTTAGGCTGACGAGGGCCCATGTCATGGCCACGTGTGGCGGGGAATAGAGACGTGAGACTCGAGATTTGATCTTCACCGTCACTGAACTGTTTCATCCACTTCGGGTCCCAGAGACGCTGGAGCCCTGCCCTGCAGGAAGCCTCATGGAGGCCAGCACGCGTGGGGTGTGCGCTGCGTGGCCTTGAGCTTCCGGAGGCCCAGTCCGAGTGTGGTGGGCAGGGTCACCGCTCCTCCACCCCGGATGCACCGGGCAGCGGACCTGCTAGGCTTTAGGCTGCAAAGCTAAGCCAGCTTTGGGGCAGGGATGCAGGCAGCCCAGGCTGAGGGGACCCACCCTGGTCCCTTTGGATGGATGCAGGGCGGCGCATGTGAGGGGCTGGGGACTGGCCTCTACGGTGCTTCTTGGGCCCCAGCCATTAATGCTCTGCAGCGCCCTGAGCATGGGCTCTGTTACAACCCAGGTGGGCCCGGGCAGTTGAGAACTGCAGCTGCAAGGCCTGATGGAACCCTTGAGTTTCCAGGGGCATCGGCTCATCAGCCGCTGCTCCACGCCCAGGATGAAAGGGATGGAATTGAGACGTGGCAGCACAGGGAACAAATGAGACAGGAAGGGCCTCAGTGTCCCCAGCTCAGCTGGCCACCACATCCTTCCTGGCCCTCTGCCGCTTTGGAAGGAAATCACTAGTGTGAGCCAGGCCGGCCGCCTCTCCGAGAAGCTGGGCCGATCAGAGTGACACAGCAGTCTCTGCCCCAAAGGCTAATGGGAAGGCAGGGCTCAGTGAGGGCCAGTCCTCACGGAGAGACCAGGACAGGACTGAAGGGTTTCAGAAGGAGGATTTCTGGAAGCAGGCTGGAGCGCTGGACGCTGTCCCAGGGATTGATGACCGCAGGTGAGAGGGGACTGACTTGTCGCTAAGGACAGGGAGGGAGCACAGGAAATCATCAGTGTCCCAGAATGGCCCCATCCCGACCCTGGGCCAGGCCCAGTGGCCTCTCTGTCCACATGGGCAGGGAGCTGACCCCGTCCCAGGGCTGGTGGGTGTACCCTAGGGGCTGCAGGTGGCGCTGCCCTGTGACGTGACCTGATTGTCTCTGACAAGGTGGGCGTTAAGGAGTAACCTGAGGAAGAGTTTGCAGAGCTGCATCTGGGGGGTGCAGGTCAGGATGGCAGCCTTGAGTCCCCTGTGCTTGGAACCCCGTGTGCCACAATGACGTTGTGCCCACCTGGCAAGGTATCACTGCCAGTGGCCCAACCCCATCACATGAAGGTGGCTGACATCCTCTCTGCATGCAGAGTCCTGGCTCACATGATGTCCTGATGTGGCCCACAGCTCAGGCCATTCAGGTCATCGCACATCTTGGGGTCTGCTTGATGGTTTTGATGAACATAACAGTTTCAGGGGACACTGGTGGGGCTTGTGTGATGTCCTCGTGGATACTCTGAGGTTATGGCCTTGGGGAGGAAGAGCTGAGAGGAAGGGGACATTCCCACCCCTCAGCAAGGACCTGCTGTCAACCTGAGCCACTGCTGTCCATGGGTTTGCAACTCTCCTGCCTCAGCCTCCCAGCTGGCTGGGGTTACAGACGTGTGCTGCTACCACACCTGGCTACAGAGGGCAGCATGTGAGAGACAGGGGCCTGACAGAGGCTGGTGGGAGCCAACTGGCTGTTCCTCACTCACTTGGCAGGAAGGGCATTGCCACCTGTCTCTGCTCCACCATGCCTGCACTGGAAGGTGGTCACCGGGCACAGCCACGTGAAGCTCATCGTGTGATGACAAGAGACCTCTTTATGAGCCGGCAGTGGGGCCAGCGCTGCACACCTGGCCCTTGGCTGTGTCCCCAGTGGCACACAGGTTCTGCTGTGTGGTGACAGTTTCTCATCAGCCCAGTACCCAAGATGGGTGGCTCCTGCTGGTCCACAGGAGGCGCTGGATGTGCCCAACACACACTTTTTCGAGGCTGCACCCTAGGTGCCCACCTGGCCCTCTGTCCCAGTGCACAGGTGGGCACTGGCCAGGAGGATGGGAGTGTCATGCACAGCATCAGCTGGAGCGACTGTGCCCTGTGTGCCCTTGCTCCCAGGCTGGAAGCTGACGCTAGAAATCAAATCATAGCCCAGGGTCCACGGGGAGGCTGAGGTGGGACAGACACAGCCGGGCCTTGGGCATCCTGGTCAGCACTGAACGAGGCCGGGCGGAGGAGCTGGGAAACCACCGGCTGCCAGGCACAGGGCCAATGCTGAAGCTGGTTCTGCAGAGTACAGTGTCCTGCCTAAGCCTCAGCTAGGTGGAGCCAAGCACAGTCATCTGCTTGACTGGGGGTTGCGCTACACTGACCCTAGGGTGCCCGAAGGACAGAAGTCCCCATGCTGGGCTGGGAGGTGACGTCAACCAAGCTGGTTATGCTCACTTAGCTGTGGGGCAGAGGCCTCCTGTCCCCTGTCCTGATAGCCTGGCCCCGCTGCGAGGGCCGAGCTGACCACTTCCCCTCAGTCTTCAGCTCAGATGCCCAGGCTAGGCCGCCTGCAGGGCGGAGTGAGCCCGAAGGTCTGTGTGCCTGCTCCCCTGGGCGCCTCTTGACGCCCACCGCATGGCCTGGACCTATGCACCTCGGAGACCTCGTGGGCGGGAGGAGGAAGCAGTGTGTGCAGGTGGCACCCTGGGCACCATCTGCCCGGCACTCTCCTCTGGTCGGTGGTGCCCGTCCTGCCTCCCTCCCTGCCTCCCTCCCTCCCCAGAACTTCAAGGTTGCTCCCTGGATTCCTGCTTGGTGGGAGACAGTGGGGGCACTGCTCGGAGGATGGCACCAGGCTGGCCTGGCCTGACCAAGGCGACATTGGCGGCAATGCCCTGCTGACCAGAGCATCCTGGGAGCCCTGAATGAGGACCCTGCTCCAGACGCCTTGGTTCTCATGGACCGAGGTGGGCGGGCAGAGGGGCCCAGGGTGGTGACGACGGCACTGTGTGTTGGAGAGCTGAGACGCAGTGGCAGTGGAGCTGTGACAGGATTGTGGGAGGGGCACCCATCTCCAGCCAGCTGTAAGCCTGTGGGCAGACGTGGAGGGGGTCCTGGGTGACTCTGTGGAGGGCACTGGGGACCCCAGTCTGCTCCTGATGAAGAGGAATGGAGAAGTCTCAGCCCTTCTCTTATGTTTCCTGCCAGACTATAACTGTGATGGTGGGAGCCACAGCAGTTTCACTACAGCCACGAGCAAGCAGCTGCCGGAAGTAAGCCTGGTAAGCACTGACCTTTGGCGTGCCTGTGATGTGAGGAGGAAGCCTGTCCTGCCTGTTTACCCTCAGCCTGCTGCAAGTGGCAGCAGAAAGTGCTGGAAACATCACGGCTGCATTTCAAATGACATTAGTAAAGTTTACATAATAACAAGCCAGGATTGTTTTGCACCTGCAATTCTGCTAAAGGATCGCAAAGCTATTTCGCAGAAGAACACACAGGGAACACTGCGAACTGTGGTGTCTCTAGCCGCACTGTCCTGGCTGCCTCCATGTCCTGGGTGGGTCATGGCATTGCCCTCTCCTGCCCTTTGTGGCTTTGGGGAGGAGCTGGAGGTCTCACTGGCCGGATGCAGTGAGTACAGTGGCCAGGGACACTGTGCCCGTTTGTGTGAGCTGCCCGTCCGCTGGATGGTGCTCGGGCAGCAGCACTGTTTCTGACCACACTGGATGAAGACCCTCAGGAGAGAGGCTCCAGAGCTGCTGCAGGAAGTGGCAGGGTGATGGGACGTGTGCTAAACAGGGGTCATGGCCACATCTCTTGCTGTCACGGTCGGTTCCGTCTGCGTGCAGGTGGTGTTTGAGTCGCCCCTCTTCCTCCCTCCCCCTTTCCCTCCCCCTTCATGCTAATGCTGCCCTGGCCGGGGACCAGAGCCACCCCATAGAGGGGTTCAGGCCTGGCCCCCAGGAGCATGGTCACCCGCAGCCCAGGCTTCATGGGTGGTGATGGCTGTCAGCCTTGGTGTGCTATTCCCCCCACTGACCAGGACCCGACAGGCCTGGCCTTTGCTGCCCCTGAGGTACTAGATCCACAGCTTGGGCCACTCGGGGCAGGAAGCCATCTCTGCACACAGATGCGTGGCTGTGGCACACTGAGCTGCTCCCACTTAGTCCCCACGGGCATCTTGAGGGACACCAATGACTGCACCCCACTCTGCAGAGCAGGAAGGAAGGCTGGGTGGCTTCTCCAGTGTGGCCCAGGGGCGAGGAGGGTGGCATCCCTAGTGCCACAGCCCTCCCCTCCCCTGCCATCCTCCTCCCCGCCCCCCCCCCCCCAGCAGTGAAGGAACCGCAGCCCTGAAATAGGGAGCTGGATGCTGCCCCGGTCCCCACACTGGGCCTGGCTTGGGCTTGGGCTAGGCGCTGGGGAGAAGGCCAGCTTCCTGTGTCCCATCCTCTGTTGTCCTCCAGCCCTGTCCCTCTGTCCACATCTGGGGGCAGACCCCTCCAGGCCTGGGACGGCCCCACACCCAGGGCTGTGGATGTCCACCTGCACGAACTGCCAAGGGCCGGGCCCGGCCACCAGAGGTCCCCGCCAAAGGACAGCCTGGGAGTGGGAAAGCCTTTTGCGCCCCGTCTGTTCACAGAGCAGCTGCCACACGTCGCAGCCCCGAGAGGGAGGAAGCTTCACGGAGAAGGCGTCATTTCTAACTAAAGAAAAATGCTGCTTCTCAGCCGGAAACCTGGCCCTCGCTCCGTCTGACAGCGAAATAGACGGTGGTGGTTTTGGGAGACTCGTGGTGGAAAGTCAGGCAGGAGAGGTAATCAGCGGCCTGGCATTTATTCTCGAAGTAGGAATATTTGTCCCTCAAAGTCAGGCTGCGTGGAATATTAGCATTTGAATAAATTATTCAGCACCTTCCAGAGAAAGCAAGGGGAGAAATCTTTCCAGCATTATAACATGGCAATCTACAAGGTAGTAGAAAAAGAAGGATATCATTTTTCCTTCAATTACAAAAGGCAAATATTTATTATTTATAAGTATGCGCCTTCTATAGGCTTAAATGTTATTTATGGACCTGTTGCACAGTGATTTTCAGTGTAACTCATTATTTTTAGCCTCCGGGTGTTGTAAAGCAGCACGGATATATTTAATGAGACTGCTACTCCGCACAATTACCCTGTAATCATTATGTAAAATGTGCTATTAATTAAACCAATTTCTGTTAGAACATTCGCTTCTGCAGGGCTTAATCTTAATCTCCAGCAATCTTTCTCTCTGTTTTTCACCTATTAATTATGTGATTACTTTTTAAGTTACCTATGATAAAATATGTTTTATTTGGAAGCCTACATCTGTCCATTAGGGGAATTTGACCCACGGTTTTTGGAGACCACAGGGCAGAAGTTTCAATTTCTTGAACTAGAGAAAGCTCTAGGTTGGAGGTCATTTTTGTGAAACTGGATATTTTTGGTAAATCAAACCCTGAGATATTCCCTTTTTGGCTTAAATAACACTATATAAAAATCTCTAGTTTTGTGACTTACAGAAATGTAATTATTTCTCAGTGTCTGAGGGGACTGGTACTGCCCCCCATCACCAGCAGCAGGACCCCACATCTGGAAGGGGTCAGGGCCCGCCTATAAAATGCTGTGGAGATTTTCTGAGACAGAGTCTCACTTGTAGTCTAGGCTGGCCTTAACTCACCGTGTAGCTCAGGCTGGCCTCAAGTTCATGATGATCTTCCTGCCTCAGCCTCCAGCATACTGGGTTACAGGAACGCAGCACCTTGCCTGGCTGTGTCCTGTACACTTAAATCACTTCTAGGTCACTGGTGATGCAGAATGCAGTGAACATGCTGTGGAAGTCACTGTTACATTATACTGAGGAGTAATTATAGGAACACCGTGTGTGTTCAGTACAGATGCATTGTTTGCTCTATTTTCAGTCCACAATTGGTTGAATCTTTAGGTGCAGAGCACGTGGGCGTGGTGGACCCACTGCCTCAGTTTCCCTTTGCTCGAGTCAGTGCAGTCTTGAGTTCATATCCTGTGAAAGGTGTTGTGTCGGTCAGCTTTCCTTTCCTGAGACAGAAGCCTGAGGAAGCTCACCACGTTGGGGTCAGTGCATGGCCAGCAGCTTCCTCCACCGGGCCCAGCAGGGAAGGAACACTAGCGGGGAGGAGCGGTCGAGGAGCTGCTCACCTCCTGGCAGCAGGAAGCAGGGAGACAGAGACGAGAGGGCTGGGACCAGAGGGAGCACTTGCTGTGCTGGCCCCACCTCTCAGGGGCCCCTTCAGCCAAGATTCATCCTGATGGGTCAGCACCCTCGGGAGCTAGGCTCTCCTGCAGCCCCACCTCTGAGCTCTGCTGCCTGCGGGTCAAGGCCTACATGCAAGGGTCTTGGGGACACTTCCTGTTTACACCCTGGCAGGTGGGGGGGGCACTTCCTATTTATATCTGGACAGATGGGGGACACTTTGTGTTTACACCCTGGCAGTTGGGGGACACTTCCTATTCATAGCCTGGCAGGTGGGTGACACTTCCTGTTCACACCCTGGCAGGTGGGTGACACCTCCTGTTCACACTCTGGCAGGTGGGGACACCTCCTGTTCACACCCTGGCAGGTGGGTGACACCTCCTGTTCACACTCTGGCAGGTGGTGACACCTCCTGTTCATACCCTGGCAGATGAGGGACACCTCCTGTTTACACCCTGGCAGTTGGGGGACACCTCCTATTCATAGCCTGGCAGGTGGGTGACATTTCCTGTTCACACCCTGGCAAGTGGGTGACACCTCCTGTTCACACCTTGGCAGATGGGTGACATTTCCTGTTCACACCCTGGCAAGTGGGTGATACCTCCTGTTCACACTCTGGCAGGTGGGGACACCTCCTGTTCACACCCTGGCAGATGGGTGACACTTCCTGTTCACACCCTGGCAGGTGGGTGACACCTCCTGTTCACACTCTGGCAGGTGGGGGACACCTCCTGTTCACACTCTGGCAGGTGGGGGACACCTCCTGTTCACACTCTGGCAGGTGGGGACACCTCCTGTTCACACCCTTGGCAGGTGGGTGACACTTCCTGTTCACACCCTGGCAGGTGGGTGACACCTCCTGTTCACACTCTGGCAGGTGGGGGACACCTCCTGTTCACACTCTGGCAGGTGGTGACACTTCCTGTTCATACCCTGGCAGATGAGGGACACCTCCTGTTTACACCCTGGCAAGTGGGTGACACCTCCTGTTCACACTCTGGCAGGTGGGGACACCTCCTGTTCACACCCTGGCAGATGAGGGACACTTCCTGTTCACACCCTGGCAGATGAGGGACACTTCCTGTTCACACCCTGGCAGGTGAGGGACACCTCCTGTTCATACCCTGACGGATGTGCTCTTGACATCAGCTCTCTGTTGGTGTTAGCATTTGGTTGCAGGGATTCAGGGTCGGGGACACAGTGATGTGGAGGGGACTCCTCCCTCTCCCCAGGCACCGCGTCCTCTCTGTGGTTACCCTGGCCATGGCGAGGAGAACTCGCTTTCCAGTACTCACTGGTTCTCACTGTTAAGAGGACAGTATTTGTTTAAAGCAATTTTTGATTTTGCTTTTCTCTCTAGAGCAAGCCTCGAGGGACAACAGGAGCAAGGCATGGGACGGTGATGGAGGCCAGGGCAGGGCTGGAACTGGTGAAGCTGTGAGGTGTGTGCGCCTCCTTTCTGTGAGGAATGAGATCACCCGCACTGCAGACGCAGCCTGCAAAAATAAAAATTAAGGGGAAATTGACTTTACCAGTAATTGGTGAAGCTGGCATCTGGCGCCTTCTGATGGAATCCACTGAGAAGAGCACAGAGCTTCTGGGTTTTCTCGTCCAAAATTCATCATCTGAATTTAATTAGGGGAAATCAGATCGGCTCGATTAGCAGGACATGCATGCAGGAAGGGCTTGGATTCTTCTACTGTACCCATATGTTGTCAGGCAAATCAGGTCGTGGCACCTCAGACTGACAAGGCTGAAGCATCCGATGGCAGAGTGTGCTGAGGGAGCCTAGCAGAAAAGCCACAGAGAGCACTATGGGCCTGTGATCCCAGCACTCAGGACGCAGAGGCAGGAGGGTCACTGAGAGCTCGAGGCCAGCCTGGGCTAGAGTGAGAGCCTGTCTCCAAACAAAAACACAAACATTATTGGACAACTGGCACATTTTAAATTACCTGACAATTAAATGCTGTATCAATATTAAATTTGCTAATTTTGACAAAAAAAAAAAAAAAAAAAAAAAAAGGGAAGCCTTGGGCCTGGCCTGTCGCTTGCCCCCACAGAGGGATGCATGCTGGCCACATCGTGCACATCTGCCAATGCTCCAGGGCCACCTGAACCCAGGACGAAGCTCGAGGAGCACGTGGCCCTCCCACGGTGGAGCCTCTGAGTGGTTCTGTGGTGCTGTGGCTGTGCCCCGCTGTCCCCTGAGCCCAGGGAGGTCTCGCTCTGTCTGCACTGTTCACAGTGCCACTCCCTTGAGGACATCAGAGAGGTGACTTGTGTCTCTTCGGGCATCCATCTAGGACTGGTGCTGCCCGAGGGGAGAGGCTCAGGGCTCACAGTGTGCCCACGACACTCTCCCAGTGCCAGAGGTCCCTGGCCACACGGGCTCTCAGCCATGGGAGTCGGTGGCCATGCAGGTTCCCTCCAGAGTCGAGATGGGACGACACCCCAGGGTCTTCAGAGGAGGCCTCGCAGAAGAGGAGACCAGTGAGGTGATGAGGACAGCACGGTGACAACTCCACCACCATGCTCACCCAGGGGCAGGTGGGGCAGCTGCATCATCCACAAGAGATGGGGCTTGGCTTGGGGTGTAGCACAGAAAGAGCTTTGTAAACAGAAAGGAGGCATGGAGCCAGCGGGGAGGGCAGAGGCGACTCCTAGCACCCCGGAGGATGGGAAAATGAAGGCAGGGGAAGCTGGGGCGGGGCCTCTCCTGATGGGAGAGAGGAACGGCTCCCCCGCGGCAGCAGGATGGTCTATACCCTGGGGAGGACGCCAGCCTCAACGCCGCTGCCCTACAGCTTGTCTGGCTGGCTGGCCTGGCCCTGCCTCCTTGGAGCTGGAACCACTTGGTTACAGGCTCGATTTGGGCCTCCGTGTTCTTGGGGCTGACCTTGCTGTAGCCCCACACATGTGATTACTTCCCACTTCAGCTGATCCTCACAAATGACAGTGTGCAGAGGGGTGGAGGGAGAGAGTCTAAGGGGCTCACAGACACCCAGAAATACACTCAATACTGGTGCCATGCAGTCAGATCAGAACTAGAGCTCGGAAGGACGGCACACCTGGGGAATGGGGTGCACGCAAATCCCCTGGGCCCTCCGGACGGGAGTTTAGCAGTAGCATCAAGGTGTGGACCTAGTTCCATGCCAGGGGGGTAGAATGCCACAAGAAAGAGGCAACACATGTGCAAAAGGGTTGTCTTCGGTCTGAATTGCCACTGCTAAAAACTAGAAGTCCTCCAAGGAGCTGGATAAATAACCCACATAGTGTTCCACAAGCCACAGTGGAATACTATGCAGCTGTTAAAAACACAGGGTAAGTGGCTGTGTAAAAGCACGAGGTGATTTCCAGCTATGTGACCTGGAGCAGGTTAGTTAATCAGTGTCTCTGTTTCCTCATCTGCAAAGCAGTAAATTCCCATGTAAGTAACAATACGGTGATGGCCACAGTTAGATGTCCTTGACCCACAGCAACATCTACCTCAGAGGACCGATGTGGGAAAGGGTGTTCATGTTCATGTAGATTCTTGGACTGACTGGTGCGTGGGAGTCTGTGTTAGTCTTTGATGTTATTATTGTTGTAAATTTTTATGTAAAAAAACAAGTTTCAGGAAGGTGGGTGGAGTATTAAAGAGCTGGGTAAAGGAGCTGGCTGGGGGCACTATGGCAAGTGCCTGCCTGTGAGGTACTGGTTTTGTCCCTGGTGCTGCTCTGAAAGGAAACAAAAACCAAACCAAAACAAAACAAGCCCAGCCCTGGGGACACGGACTCCTGGTGCCGTGGGAGCTGCGATGGCGGTGAATGGATGGAGACTTCTGCCATGGGCCTTGCCCATCTGGTGTGGAGAGTGGGAGCGTGGGGTGGGCAGGCTCAGTCCTGGGGACCTCTGGTCGGCTTTGCAGGATGAAGAAGGGGTTTTCCTGGTAGGGACAGAGTCGGGAGGGTTCATGTGTTGGGAGAGTCCGGCCCGGTCGCAGGTGCTGGAAGCCCTGGCCCTGTAAGCCTTTTATTTGTATTGGCCATGGTTGCAGGATGTGATGACCATGGTCCCTGAGGGCAGCTGGCGCCGGGACTCAGAGCACCTTGAGTCACTTTCTGTCCTTCTTTCCATCCCCTCTCTCCATCTCCTGGTCCCCATGTCATCTTTTCTTTGCTCTGTGATTTGCTTACGCTTTGGGTTCTCATGGGAGAGACGCTTGGCAGGGTTTCAGCCTGCATCTTCTGCTTCCCCTTGCGCAGGGCCGGGTGACACAGGTGTGCATGGCTGTCAAGCCCACCGATCCTGTGGTGAAGACACAGTCTGTGGGTTCCCCGAGGTGCAGCAAGGACGCCTCAATTTTAAAGGTCAGACTAAGGGAAGCCTGGGGTGGTTTGTGAGCACAGAGTGAATCAGCTTGAGCTACCGTCCCTGGCACAGGGCAGTGCTGGGGTCTGGGGGCTGCCAAGGGCCGAGGGGGCTGCAGTCCTCGCTACCTTGGATGGAACACACTGGGAGGGGCGAGGCTTTGCCCTGCTGGGAGCCTGATCGACTCTGTGCCTGCATGGGTCCTGCCTTGGGGTCCTGGGCCAAGACAGGGCTGCAGTCCCCCGGGGGTGGGGGCTCGTCCTGGGGCCTTTGGGCCACTCCTCTGTGGCCAGGTTCCACCAGACCCCCTTGGCCTGCACTCTGCTTCCTGATTCGAGCCTGGGTGGAACTGAGTGCAATCTTCGGAATAATCTCTCCAGCTCCTGGAGCTCACTTGTGTGTTTGATTTGATGTTTTTTTTTTTTTTTTTTTTTTTTTAAAACAATGAATTTTATGTTTGAAGCAGTTTCAGGCTTGCAGGAAAGTTGCTCACAAGCCCCTCCTGCACCCCCTTGGTTGTTCAGGCATCCGCCAGTGTGGTCTGTCACAACTCAGGAGCCAGGACGGGCTCAGTGTTTCTAACCAAGGCTCCTGGGATGTTGGGGTTCACACTATGTGTGTCCGGTTGTGTGGGTTTTGACAAATATGCCCACTGGGACCTTCCTCCAATTCATTTTTTTTTTAATGCTTTAAAACTTTTTTTGGAGACAGACTCTCATTGTGTATTCAAGGCGGGTCTTGAGCTCACTGTACAGCCCAGGTTGGCCTGGACCCTCAGAGACCCTCCTGCCTCAGCCTCCTGAGTGCTGCATGACAAGAGTGCACTTCCACCACTCTGGCCTCCTCCTATTCATGGGCGCTGGCCACTCCTGGGCCCATGAGAGACGCTGCCTTTTGCGCTGCTCCTATGGGGTTCACCGTAGCATACGAGGGCCTTAGCAAGTCCAATTGCCTTTGGAGTTAGGTGCACATATTATCACAGCATACAGGGCTAAAACGCTTATAACCATTTTCTGTTTTCAGGTTGAACCTCTCAGTTTTACAAAGGAGAGAGGAGCACTGGATCCTGTGGTTAATTCAGTGTGTAAAAGAACTCTATTCCTGTATGCATTCAAGAATCCCTCAGCCAATCAATAAACACTCGCTGGGCCTGGCTGCGGTGCACCTCAGTCAGACGAGGGCAACAGAGGAAGAACCTGCTCCTGAGAAGCCAGTCCCTGGCAGTTCCAGGCCTGACTGTGGCACCCCATGCTGAGAGCCCTGGATGCCCTGACAGGCCCTGGCTGGAAGCACCGTGATGATTCCTGTTTCCGGCCGGGGCTGCAGCTAAGTGACCTCACATGGCCTCACGGCCAAGGCAGGGTGGAGCTGAAACCTGACCGTTCCACTGTTAACCCTCCCCCCCTCCGTGCCACTGGAGGACATGGGTCCTGGGTTCAAGTCCCATGCTGGCTTTTTAACCTTAGACCTGCAGTGCCCCTCCTTGCTGCAGCCTGGCCACTTGGAGCTGCACTTGTGTTCCTCGCATTCCTACCTGGTAAAAAGCAGACTCTCCGTTCTGAGTCTCCTCAACACCGATCTGGACGCTATAGCTTTGCTGCACGGCTTGGGGTGTGGGCTTCGTGGGCAGGCGTTGGCATGGGTGCTCTTTGCCTTGTGTTTACGTGGCCCTAAGTGATCTATTCCAACAAGCACAGTTTGGAGGACTGGTCTCGTGGCCTTTTTCTAACACGTATTAAAAGAAATTCTCAGCTCTTCAGGTAGAAAAGGCAGGGCTGCCAGGCCACTAAATTTTCACTGGCCACGAAGCTAGGTGTCCCCAGAGGTCTCTGTGTCCATCTGTCCCGCAGTCCTGGCACTGGGCACAGAGAGAGGGCTCTACTTGCTTATGCCCAGGAGAGAGAGTGGCAACCAGTGACGATCTCCTGGTGCCTGCTGAGGCCCTCCGCACCAGAGAGTGATGGGACACTGAGGGCTGGCAGGGGTCTCCGGGAGGTGCGGGAGCCTGCACCTGGGGCACCCACAGGGTGACGAGAAGGGGTGGCCTCCAGGTCCTTCCAACTCATGAGGGACCCTCCTTTCGTGGCACAAATCCTCTGATTCCTTCGTCATCAACTGCTCATTCATTGTCCTAGCCCCTTGGGGAGTGGGCTGGAGAGAAACGCTGCTGTCTCAGTCCTGCTTGGCAAAGGGAAAAGGAAGGGACATGCGCTGCCTGCCAGGCCCCGCACGCCGCCTTGCCGGGTTTTGTGTCTTACCTCCTGATCCTCGCAGAGAGCCCCTTTCCCATCCCAGGAGGCCCAGGAGGCTCATCCTAGTCCGTCCCTTCCCACTGTTCCTCTGCACCCGGGTCCTGCACAGTCTCAGCCATGAGATATGTGTGCCTGATGCATCTACACCAAGCGGGAGTTCCAAGCTGGAAGGCACCCCAGTCCCCGACTTCTAGTGGAGGTCCTCACAGGAGATAAAGACACTGAACTGCTCAGTCCGTGCCCAGCACTGAGCAGAGCCCAAAAACCCAAGATGACTGTGGGGGGGGGGGCGGTCTTGGGCCCCGAATGCATCTCATTAAGCCCTGAGACTCGGTTCCTTTTTCTGAGTTAAACAGCCCAGCTCAAGGACCTTGTGATTCCCCTGAGAAATGGGTGCTGCTGGAAGCTTGGTGCGGAACAGTGCCAGAATCATTTGTGTCCTAGAAGGGCAGCTCCGGGGCCTGGTGCGGGTGCAGAGGGATGTGGCCAGCTGCACCCAGAGGAGTTCAGGGGCGGGGGGGGGGGGGACGGGAAGGGAGGATGGTCGGGCTCAGGCCGAAGCTGGAAGCGGAGATTTCTGATGCCTTGGACTTGGGTGTGGGGTGAAAGGAGTCCGGGATGCTCCTGGTTCGATGAGGGAGCTATCACCACCCACTGGCTTCTGTCCCTCGGTAGATAAGTATGTCCCCAGGGCGCGACAGCCTAGACCCCAGAGGACACCTGTGTTGGTGGCACCTGAAGAAGTCACAGGACCAGGGGCCTCACCCCAAGCCCAGGAGTCCCTGATGCACAGACAGGAAGCTGGGAGTGAGGCCCTGGGGGGTAGGAGGGCACAGCACCAGGTGCCCACAGCTGGGCCACTCTGCCTGGCTGCCGCCCATACTTGGGGGTCCCAGCTGGTGCCTCTTGAACCCAGTGCCACCCAGAGCACCTTGCTCCTGCCCAGGCTTGTGGGGAGTGGGTGCCCCCTTCCTCACTTTGCCCCCAGCGAAGAGATGCTCCCTGCAGAGGGCTGGGGAGCATCTCTGGCTCCCACAGAGGAGGATGAGAGTGGGAGGGGGCGGGCGGGCAGCTGGCCCAGGGCGGCTGGAGAACTGTTTGCGGTAACTCTTTTTAATATACATTGCTGACCCTAATGACGGTCTACTGAGATGAGGCCAAGAAACGTCTGATGCCGTGGAGATTAATTTTGGACCGTGTCGCTCAGAATGCATGAAAATACACTCCTTCTCCTACTTAGACTCCTGGATGCTTTGATTGATTGACTAGTTTACAAATGAAGGTGATAAAATTAGGTGGAGACCACATACATTTCTTAAAATGAGGCTGGCTGGGCGCGGGGACAGATTGTGTTGCTGGCTTAGGCAATCTGTGGGCCCGCCAGATTTATGGGCCCAAGCGCAGCCTCACTGTCGCACCCACCGATGTAGTTTCCTTTCAAATTCTCTGCCATTTTATTTGAAAAAGGCCATTAGAGAGTTATAGACTATTGAAAAAGCTTTTCCTTTGTAACCCTTAATAAACTCTTCCAAATAAGGAATGCTGCGTTTTTATATTAAATTTAAACCCAGATCTGTAGGACATGCGGTCCTGGGTGGGATAATTTGATTATCATTGTCTAAATGGAGTGACCGGTCACCCTGGTTTGTGGTAATGCACGCAGTAAATGGAACGCAAGCTGAGATTTGTACACAAGCACAGGGTTTTCTTTTTGTTGTTGTTTGCTCTGTGAGCCTTTCTTTGGGGGAATTTCAGCCCGTTTTCCCTGATATGAAAAATTTGAAAAAAAAGAGGTCCCAGAGATGAAATTAATGCCGTGTTGTACTAAAAACAAATTGCTGTGAACATTTACTTGTTCTCATCACAGAAGAGAGCTGCAAATGTCTTAGGAGTTACCCAACTAATAAGATTTACCAAGGGGCCCAGAAAGCATGAGAAAATACCCGGCAGAATTAGAAACAATTATTTCATTGTAAGCTGTGATGTGGGAAAGAATGGATGAGACGCTGGAGTTATTTATGAATTAGTCAGTTCTGTTTCATACATTTTTTTGCCATCAAAATAACTTATGAAATCATCTTCCAGGCCCGTGGCATTTTATGAGACTTCTGTACTCAGTTAGAGATGTTCTTCCAGGGCTTTTGCAGCTTCTCTGAGTTCTCTGGTGGCACCCATAGGTCGACCTGCCGTGGCCCTGGGCCCGCTGCCTGGGCCATGCAACACTGGAGAGGTGGCAGGAGTTTTAGGGGTTCAGCGGGAGGCCTCGAGAGGGGGAGAGGGTCCCGTATGAGTCCCCAGTGAGCGCCTGGCATAGCACCTGGCACCCAGTGATCACTTGGAGGCCACGCTGATCATGGCCACCACCCATGCCAACTTTCCGTGGCCCCAGCTCCTGGGCAGGGTGGGCCCAGGCTGTGGCTGGCACAGCTCTGTGCCCGAGGGGGTGTCCCTCCTGGACCCTGCGCCTCTGCCCCTTGGGCACCTGGCTCCTTCCAGGGCCTCTTCTGTGGGGCAGCAAGAAGCAGCAATGGCCATGTGGAAGGCTGGTTGTCACTGCTGGTTGTATCCAGTACCTGTTCCCCAGCCTTTCTAGAAGTGGAAAGTGGGCCAGTGTGAGCAGTGGGAAATGGGGACCTTCTGTACCCTGAGGGCTGTCACCAAGCCTTCTGTGGGACTCAGAGTCAAGCAGTTGCAGGAATGGGCTGGGCGCAGACCCTCGCGGCTGATCTAGTCTGGGAGGGGTGAACCCGAGCTGCCTTTCCCGAAGAAGGTCGTCATATTTCTCTGTGATTTACACCGAGGAGTCTGGGGCTGTGCTGGGTTCATTTCAGATCCTCCAGTGCCAGGAGAAAATGTGCTGATGGCAGGGATCGTGCCTGGGGTGGGCAGTGGGCAGTGAGCCACCTCCGGTGAGGTGCTGGCGGCGCTGGGCTGCCTGAGTCTCTCCAGAGACTACAGCAGGGAACTTGCAGCCCAAAGAGTCAAGGTGTACCCGGCCTGCAGACTGGATCGGCAGGCAGCCTGGCAGAAGCCACACCCGGGCCACCTGTGCCACTTGTGCCTGGACCTCCCCTGCAGTCGGCTTGGGGTGAAATAGAGCCACACAGCAATATGCCACGTGTCCGTGCACAGTGGCAGCCTTGTTAGTGACACCATGGTGGTTAATTACCTGGTCTTTCGTGGTCCCTTGGTGGCTAATGGGGGGGGGGTCACAGTCTTCTGAGGATACCAAGGCCCATGTGCTCCTGTCCACTAGGCACAGCCTGCTAACCTGAACTTGCAGCATCTCTAGGTGACTCCAAGGCCCCAGGTGGCCGGCAGGATATGTGACATGTGTTACCCTGTGTGACGCAGGGAAGGAGGACGAGGAAAATGTCTGTGTGGATTGCATGCAGACAGAAGTTGTTCTCAGTGTTTCTGATCTGAGGCGGGTGACTTCACAGACCAGAAACTGCGGGGAACAGGGCCAGCTGCTGTATGCAGCTTCTTCTCAGCTGCACAGTGTCAGCCATGGCGCTGGGCCCTCTGCTGTGCCAGGCGGGTCCACTGAGCCCTGGGTCTCTGGGATGCTGTTTGTGTTTCAAGTGTGAAGACAAAGCCTGGGCCTGTTTTTGTTGAAGTGACTTTTCCGGAAAAAGGCACCATCGCTGCGGTGCAGACACAGAGAAATCCCAGCGGGCAACACTGCGTGGGTTGGGGAGATCAGACAGTGGGGTGAGGAGGGCCGATCTGGGCCTCCCTAGGCTGCAGACCCTAAGGTCCCTGAAGATGGGAGGATGGGTCCCTGGGCCCTTCCTGACCCTCCAGGACACAGTGACAGCTTGAACTGCAGGGCCGGAGGAGACAGGCAGTCCTGCCCCGCCGTGCCATTAGTCACCTATGGCGAACCTTTCCGAATGTTTGCCAGGAAGA